TGGAAGGAAAAAAAGAAAAGAGAATGTCTTCCAACATGTTCATCCCCTTCAGGCTGGAGGAGGACTGAAGGGAAGCTGCACAATGCATCTGAGTTCATGGGAGGTGCAGCCTTCATCGTAACTGCTGTGCTAGTAGTGATGTTAATACTTGGTGTAATTTAGTGCAAACTATTTCACTTTGATCACGACAGTGTGAATATAAAAGTAGGACTGGTCAAATACATATCTAAAGAGATTCATAATTCATAATACTCCGCACGACTAAAACTGCTCGACTAGATCTGGAGACATTTGTAGAACTTGTAGTAAAGACGAGCAACGCAGAGCGGCGAGTTCATCCAATCGGCTGTAATCAGGGTTCATTATGCCGACGTCTGATTGGAGGAGAGATGGCTGTCAATCATCTGGTGGACCGACTCCTTAGAAATCACGTCCATCTAAAAACATCTGATCTTTAAACAGCAGTCAGCAGCCAAATGTGGCCATAAATCAATGGCGGCCATTGATCACTGACAAAACGCCGAGACTTATGACTGGTGGGACGTCGAGGAGGCGATTTATTTTTCAACCAGACGGCAACTTCCGGTTCTGAAAAGTGTCCAAAATACAGAACGTTAGGCTTCAAAACGTCCTCAAACCAACGAGTGACGTCCACTTCTTATCTACACTTTGTGTCTTCAACAAGAGAACACCAACCTAGAAACTCAGTGATGCGTCACAGCGATGGAGTTCCTCTTTAAGTTCCTGCTCATGTTAAACGTATTTCCCTGAGTGAGGTTCTCTCTCAGACCGCACGCACACACACACGCATTCAGAGCAGCAGATGTCGAGCAAGCGGTAACACGTCTTATCTTATTTGTACGAAAACATTTTACAGATTACGGCTTTGATTTGGTAAAAGTGGAAGAAACCAGACCAGTAGGTGAAGAGAGGCGGCGTGATGGAGCGCTGCCAGCTGGCTGCATCACTTAAGCTGGTTAGTTATTTGTCTGTTATGTAAGCAGGTGTGTGTGTGTGTGTGTGTGTGTGTGGCTGAGAGAGAGGGGGAGTAAACAGAGAGAGAGAGTGGGAGGGAGATTGGATTTAGAGAGGCAGAGATTTCTAATTTGTCTTTTTGTTTCCTTTATTTGTGTATTTTCTGCTCGGTGTATTTTAGCAAACAGGAATCTAATTATGTGCAACGACAGCAAAGCAAAGTCAAACAGACATGACGTTAAAGTGCAGCTAGACGTGTTGGTTTCCATGTAAACTGGTTTGTTTGTGTGATGGAGACTAAAAGAGAGAGAGTAACAGAGGGAGAGGAGCAAGGAATGGGTGAAGAGGCGCGAAACATTTCACCTTTATTTAACAGGATTCTAACAATTAACATAAAGTACAAACATTTGAGTAACATTACAATAATCAGATAAAACGTTTGCACAGAAGCTGCAGAACATCTGTGAGCTTTAATTCCACTGAAAGTAAAACTTTGGTGCCATTTCTGTAAAAGCTGCAACAAAGTCCGTCCTTTAATGCTGCAATAATCACCATGAAGTACCTGAGAGATCCTGCAGTGTACTGCCTCTACTTCTTTGCTGGGAAATATCTTGATATTATATCAATATCCTGATTTGATACTAGATATTGTCAAAGGTTATGCATATTTTAATATTGTAATATGGCATAAGTTTATTTTCCTGGTTTTAAAACTCATTTTCTAGAATGACCAGACTGTTGTAGCTCTTCTATTATTTGTCTTTACCCACTTAGTCTTTATATCAACAGTACTGATGATTGTACATAGAAAAAATCTTGCGTAAATCTTTTGTTAAAGCGTCAACGCATCCGTAAGATATCGTCGTATTTGGTAAAAAAAAATAAAAATATTGTGCTGTTTGCTTTTTCTCCATTCCTGGTACAGGTGTTTCTATTATTTTGTCCACCCAATTGATATCAATGAGGAAAGCCTAAATAACAGAAACACCTCTCTGTTTGAATCAATAGAGTTCAACAGTTCACAGTTCAGAATGAAACACTCGTACGTGAAGAAGGCAATTATTCATTGGACTGGTGAAGTGAAATGATTAATGAGGGAGAAGCGGGTGAGTAAAAAGGGGGAGGGAGTTACTTGAAAGTGTTTCGTGAGTCATTTCAATAGAGCGAGAGGTAAACCTGAGAGGGGGCGGCAAAGAGTGAGGTCAGAGGTTAACCTCTGGTGAGTGTGGGATTAGTCCGTCAACCCGGCAGCCAGACATAACTTCTGTGGTTTCAACACATCTACGTTTCAGCAACACTTCTCTGACTTCATTTAGTCCGGATCGTTTTCTACCTGAAAGATTTACTTGTATTTCTAGAAATCTGTCGTCGGCCCACGCAGGCTGCTCTCATCCGGCACACGTAGCTATACCGATGAAAAAAGAACGCAAAAACCCACACCTAACTTAGTTATATTTCATCATCTTTTCCTTAACCAAACTAAGTATTATACGATCTTTTTCTAAACCCAAGTATTATACGATCTTTTTCTAAACCCAAGTATTATACGATCTTTTTCTAAACCCAAGTATTATACGATCTTTTTCTAAACCTAACTAGGTATTATACGATCTTTTTCTAAACCTAACTAGGTATTTTACGATCTTTTCCTAAACCTAACTAGGTATTTTACGATCTTTTCCTAAACCTAACTAGGTATTTTACGATCTTTTCCTAAACCTAAGTATTATACGATCTTTTTCTAAACCGAAGTAGGTATTTTACGATCTTTTTCTAAACCTAAGTAGGTATTTTACGATCTTTTTCTAAACCTAAGTAGGTATTTTACGATCTTTTCCTAAACCTAAGTAGGTATTTTACGATCTTTTCCTAAACCTAACTAGGTATTTTACGATCTTTTCCTAAACCTAACTAGGTATTTCACGATCTTTTCCTAAACTTATCTAAGTATTTTACGATCTTTTCCTAAACTTATCTAAGTATTATACGATCTTTTTCTAAACCTAACTAGGTATTTTACGATCTTTTCCTTAACCTAACTAGGTATTTTTACGATCTTTTCCTAAACCTAACTAAGTCGTAAGTTGTTTCCTGTGAAGATGGAAGTTTATTTTAAAAAGACGTTAGAAGAAAAGATGAGAAGTCAATTTGCTGCTTTGACATTTAAAGTGAGTGATCACTGGGAGGTTTACAGGTTACAGGAAGTTATTTTTATCACTAAAACACAAGAACGTCATTTTGAAATCTCCACTCTGCAGATCGTTTTAAAACGTTGTTGAATGTCAAAAACAAGTGGACGTGCCCTCAAACTCCGACGTGTAGATGAGTTAAAGGAGAACAGAATCGGGATGTTTTCGGTACATTTCAGAGCTGAAACCGTCCATTTTAAAGTAGAACTTGTCCTCGTGTGGTGTGTTTGAGGACGCAGTCGGACAGCTTGAGTCCTACACAAGGAGACGGCAGTAATTACACTGAGATAGAGACACATTCACTGAGGCTCATGGGGAATACATATTAGGCTACTTGTACCATTAGTGTTCTGACATTATGCTGCCCTGGCATTTAGACCTCTTGGTTTTTAAATGAGCGGCGTATTAACACCTCTGGCGGCGGTGGCGGCGCTCCAGCTCGGAGGAGCCGGCGGCATGAATTAAACATGGAGGTGGAGAGAGAGGCCAGAGGTGGAGGCGAGGAGCTGTGGGAGTGTTGATGGACGACAAGTCGGAGGTTTCAAGTCGGGTTCCAGCTGCTGAATTGTTCTTTTTATTGTGTCGATGTTTGCAGAGCAACTTGGTATCTACATTTAATCTTTGCGTCATAAATACACTTTATTAAAACGTAGAATTAATAATGGCTTCAATAAGACTCAACATAAGACTCGTCAGTCGAGAATTAACTTGTTGTGAAATGTGTCTGTTGGTGGTTTAGTTTGTCAACCTTTGTTTGATTGTGTGTCCAAAAACCTGGGACACGAATGCAACACATTCGTGTGTATATATAAATATAATATATATATAGTATATAAATCTGATGGGATTGCAGGCAGCGTACAGGTGCAGAAGTGACTTCCTGATTGCAGCTTTAGGGACTTCTGGTCGTCCTATCACAGCGCGAAGTGTTAGAAAAGCTGCAGGGATCAGGCTCCAGTATTCCCAGTGATGTAGCATGTGGCTTAAAAAGGTGTGTGCAGAGGAGATAATGCATCACCTAGAGAGAGAGGGATGGAGGGAGGGAGGGAGGGAGGTGGGTGGGTGTTGGGAGTCGGCGCTCTGGGAGTTGTTTCCTGCCGTGTCCTTGAGTGTGCTGCAGCTGAAGTCCCGAGCAGAAGCTTGAGCCTCTCAGCAGATTAATGCGCTGCATTTTATCTGGCCCACAGATCACTCCTCTTTTTGTTCTGCCGCTATTGAACCGTGCACTCACACACAGAAGCAATTACAATACCTCCACACACACACACACACACACACACACACACACACACACACACACAGGTTATAGCCGCTACCTCTCACAGCCAATCTGTCTTTCTTCAGCTGTCAATAACACAATTATCTGCTCGGAGAGTCAGACGAGTCCTCATCGTTTACACTGAAGGAGGAGACGATTCATGTTTACATTCATTATTTCAGCCAATGAGCTCAACGCAGCACAATATATATTATAGATCTTTAAGTTAGCGACGTGACGCTAAAGAACCGATAAGAGGCTTCAGTGTCTTTAGCCCAAAAATACATGATTCAAATCACTCGTTTTGTCGTGGTGTCTAAAACACAAAGATACTAAATGTACAGGAATATAAAACACTAAAGCAGCATGAACATCATGAACCAATAAATAAAACACTGCATTCTACATATCCAACGTGTTTCCACGTGTCCACAAGCGTTCAAAGACCGTCGGAAAGATGGAAATCTGACGATAATGACACGTTTACATCTCCTGGCTGATAAACGCTGTAGTTTTCTATGTATTCCACACAGAAACACTCCTTACCTCTGTAACTCACCATGTGACCTGTCACTCTTTCATCCCTGTGTGTCTCCAGAGTGCCGCTCAAAGTGGAGCAGGCCAACAACGCCCGGGACGCGCTGGCGAAGGCCGTGTACAGCTGCCTGTTCGACCACGTGGTGACGAGGGCCAACCAGTGCTTCCCCTTCGAATCCTCCGCCAACTTCATCGGCGTCCTGGACATCGCCGGCTTCGGTCGGTACCCATCAGAACCCTCTTATCAATATATATCAATATATATATTTTAATGTTTCATATTTAGTCACTTAGATAAATAATGACGCGATGTCCTCGTCAGAGTTCCTCTGACTGACTCTCCGCTGCTGTTTCCGTTCTACAGAGTACTTTGAACACAACAGCTTCGAGCAGTTCTGCATCAACTACTGCAACGAGAAGCTGCAGCAGTTCTTCAACGAGCGCATCCTGAAGGAGGTGAGAGCTGACGTTCACCTCCAGAAACCTCCTCCCATCACCAGCCAGCACTGACAAACAGCCGCAAGTCAAAGCACCCTTTGATTTAGACCTTTAAGTGCTTCTCTTACTGTGAGAGTAGGTGTCATTTCTTATAAAAGTATTCATTTTCCAAAGCTCAGACACCTGAAAACATGAAATCCAACCTTTTTAAAGGAGCGTTTCATCCCGTAACATGGTGTAGTTTCCCCTTTTTGAAAGTATGTGTTGTGATGATTACCGGTTAAAGATGAAACCCTGGATGATTTCTCTTCAAAATGACCGGACGTAGAAAGTTTTCTGTTGCTTTCCGTAAACTTTGTGTCTCGTATTTGGATGAATCTCTTCATCTACAGACGTCTTCAGCACCCAAACAACCATTGGAGACGTGAAACCCCACGCCGTCCCAGTCCACAGTGTTCCACGTCTCTTATTTTGGAAAAGAATGACGTAGACGTATCATTTTTTCTTCTTCACATAACAGACTAGACTCTTTAAGACGCCCATTCTTACTTTGCATGAAAGTGTAGCAGCAGAGAGCGCCGGTCTAAGTGGCGCTTTGTTAGAGAGCTAGAAAGCCCTCAGAGTCCCCGTCCTCCTCCTCCTCCTCATTAGACGAACGCGGATATCGTTATGGATTCTCATTAGAAATGTCTCGTTTTGCATTCCAGGAGCAAGAGCTGTACCAGCGGGAGGGGCTCGGAGTCAACGAGGTTCACTACGTCGACAATCAGGACTGCATAGGTACGAAGACGCCACTCGACGCTCTGCACTCACGATAACCTTCGTGCATTCAGAGCAGCTCCGGTGGCTCGACCTCCATATTTGTGTGTTTTCTGCTTATTCTGTTATTTGTATGACTGATGTGTTTCCCCGTGTGTGGAGCTCAAGCTACACAGAAGAGGAAGAAGAGCACAAAGCTGGCTGTACTCATCACGAACTAAATATTCAAACTGTGTATTAATATTCAGATGGTGCTTTTAATGTCTAGAAGCATTTAAAGAATCCATCAGAGCAGTGAATTCATCAGCTTTCTGCAGTCAATGTGTTCAGACATTCTTGCCGTTGACATACAGGGTGTTTCTCTCTGGTTTGAGTCTGTGCTGACTTTCTTGTCTTGTTTTAGCTCTTGTAGTTCTTAACTCGACATGCTTTGCAACTGTTTTTTAATCTTTGATGTAAGACTTGAAGGTCTTCACTTGAATCCTGACTTGCAACTTTCCTGTCATGACGTGGGACTTGTAGGTTGTAAGTGACTTGTGACTTTCCTGTGTTGACTTGTGACCTTTTGGTCTGAACTAGGCCTCTGATGAAGGGCTGTCCTGTCTTGTTTTGGTCATTTGTACTTGTTGGTCTTGACTCACAACTTTCTAGTCCTGTTGAAGCTCTTAACTCGGAACTTGACTTCTCTCTCTCTCTCGTCTTGACTTGAGACTTTCCTCGATCTGGGTCTTGTCATGAAAATCTCAGGACATGACTTACTGTTCCGTCTTTATTTGGGACTTTTAGATCCTGACTTGTGACTTGACTTGTAACTCCCTAGTCTTGTTTGGGGTCTTGTAGTTCTTAAATTGACTTGTCTTGCAACTTTTAATTGGTATTTGGAGGTCTTACTTTGGAACTTGACCTGCAACTTTCATGTCTAGACGTGGAAAGTTGTTTTGTAGTTTTTGACTTGGGTCTTGACTTGGATTTTTCTGTTCTGTCTTTGGACTTGTAGGCCGTAACTTGGGACTTGACTTGGGACTTGTTTGCCTTGACTCAGGACTTAATGTGGGACATCCAGATCTTAACTCATGGCTTATTTGCAACTTCCCAGTCTTGTAGTTCTTACGTTGACATGTCTTGCAACCTTTAATTGGTACTTGTTGGTCTTGACTTGCAACTTCCCAGTCTTGTTGTATGACTTGAAGTTCTTCACACTGAACTTGACCTGGTACTCCTTGTTTAGTGTTGTGTTTAACTTGGATCTAGACTTTTCTGTCTTTATTTGGGACTTGTTGGTCATGACTTGAAATTTGACTCGAGACTTCCCAGTCACGTTACGGGAACGTGAAACTGTTGTGTCCCAGCTTAGACCTTGACGTTGGACTTCTATGTCTTGGACTTGGACTTCTATGTCTTGACTTAGGAAGTGAAAAGTGACTTTCCTGTGTTGTCTTTCTGGTCTGAACTTGGGACTTAGATTAAGACTATTAGGTCTTAACCTGGCCGACGACGTAGGACTTTCCTGTCTTGACTTAGGACTTGTCTGCGTTCACTTGGGACTTGACGAGGGACTCGAAATAGAACTAGAACCTGGATTTATTTTTTTAGCTAAGACTTGAGCTTTTGTGTTGCCTCCGCTACAGCATTGCAAACATAGCTGTAGGTATCACTTCCTCTCCGATGCTCTGTCAAACAGAGCTCTGTTGAGTCACTGCCTGAGGTTTCGCAGGTTTTTGCTGCTGGTCCTGGTTGCTTTGTAGTATTCATGCTTTTAATTTTCTCACTCTGGGGTTCCAGTCTTCTCGAGCTACACGGGAGTAGGAGTTGTGTTTGCGAGCCCAGGGCTGCAGAATGCTGCTCATTATTGGCCTCGATGTGCTGCTGGCTCTGAGCCCTCGGTCAGCCGGCGCTCCACAGTTTGACCCCGGAGCCTCGGTGCTGTTTCACGGACAGACAGAGTGACGGAAGCCCTCGGAGCATGTGAACTCCTGTCCTGACTGAGACACGTCTCCATAAACAGGGAGGCAGATGGATGTGAGCTGGTTTAGAGGTGAAGGAGGTTAATTATGCTTTTTGCTGATGTCCAGCTCTGTGAAATAGCATCAATATTAGATGCTGAACTACAGCGGAGCGACAGCTGGAGGGAGGCAGCAGTCAGACTGTTTACAACGAGCTCTTTGTATATTGGCTCGGAAAAAACTGTAGATTACCGAAATGCATTTGTTTGTTCGGGCTCCTGTTGTGTGTTCTGTGAGCAGCGGCGACTCGGTCCACACAAGCACCAGAGAGCACATAAAACTCTCTCTTGATGTTGCAGGAAATTGAATCTGTACAGACGGGAGATACGTGACATCATGCACAACGAAGAAGAAATTAAAACAAAGATTCAAGTCCAAACGGGCAGTTTTATTTGTTAACGCTTCGTTCATTATGGCCGCTGTGCTCCCGTCTGTGTTCATGTTGTTTTCCTTGAGACTGGTAGAGATGGTAGATGGAGGGATGAGGGGGGATGGATGATGAGGATGATGGGATGTCTCCGGGGGGTTTTGAGTAGGAAGTCTGGCTGCTGGTCAGAGGTCTCGGTTAGTTGGACGCAGTGAGTTTGTGAGTAGGAGTCTTTGTGCATCTCCAATTCATGACTCAGAAAGACGCGGTGAGTCATCCTCCGTGACTTCCTCCTCAGTCAGTGAAGCTGTGCTGTAGTTTACACCGACACCTCTCCAGGCCCTTCACCGGGTTCACTGTGTCTCTGACCTTTCTCACCACTTACTAGTGTTTGTGACACCGTTGTTGACGTATGCTGCAGGAATCGAGCCTCTTCTTCGTCACACGTTGGGAGCTCGCCAGTCGCCGGTTTTATAACACACAACGTGAGCTTTGTGTGGGAAGAGATATCCCATCAAATACACTGCATTGTGACCGGAGAGACATTCTGAAATGATGTAATTGAAGGTTCATAAAAGTATATTTCAGTTCAAGCTATGGTCCATTAAATGAGTCAGTTTAACATTGTGTTCTCCTGAAGTGGCTCTTTATCTTCCCATCGAGTTGACCTCTCCTGTCTGGACTGTGGACTCGTCGCTGACTTCGTATCAGATCCGTTTCATAGCTCCATGTTGATGCAGTACAAGCAGATCTTTCCTCCTTGTTAGTCGTGCTCCTAAATGAAGTGCTCGCTCTCTTCATTACTCTATCGATTGAAGCTCCAGCCTGCAGTGTTCATTACTGTACTGTAGTGCTCATCGGCCCTCTTCCAGAGCACATCCAGTAGTTGTTCTTTAGACATCAGTCTAGCTTTGAATGCTTCATTTTTTAAACTTGTGGTGTGTTAAAGTCTCTCTTTAATGTGTGACACAGTTCTTTATTTAAGATCCAGATGTGGAAGCAAACATTATTAAACGTCTCATGTAGACGTGAATTGACTGTTTCAAGAACCCTGCAGACTCATTTAATCCATGTTTTACTAAGCAGTAGTAGCAGCAGTAGTAGCAGTAGTAGTAGTAGCAGTAGTAGTAGTAGTAGCAGTAGTAGTAGTAGTAGCAGTAGTAGTAGTAGTAGCAGTAGCAGTAGTAGTAGTAGTAGCAGCAGTAGTAGTAGTAGTAGCAGCAGCAGTAGTAGTAGCAGTAGCAGTAGTAGTAGTAGTAGCAGTAGCAGTAGTAGTAGTAGTAGTAGCAGCAGTAGTAGTAGTAGCAGCAGCAGTAGTAGTAGTAGCAGCAGTAGTAGTAGTAGTAGCAGCAGTAGTAGTAGCAGCAGTAGTAGTAGTAGTAGCAGTAGCAGTAGTAGTAGTAGCAGTAGCAGTAGTAGTAGTAGTAGTAGCAGTAGTAGCAGTAGTAGCAGTAGCAGCAGTAGTAGTAGTAGTAGCAGTAGTAGTAGTAGTAGCAGTAGTAGTAGTAGTAGCAGCAGCAGCAGTACTACTACAGTTGTGACAATAATGCCACATTTTATCGTTCAGTTAAAAATAGTCAAATCTGTACAGAGACACAACAGTACCTGCTCATTGTGTCCTTAGTTTGAACTGCAGTTTACCACTGGTTTGCATAAATGAACTCGCTCCACATTGTTGGCTCTTAAACCTAGTTTCCCTAAAGATTGAGGAACACGGTCGTGGAGGTTTTTTATCCAGAAGCTAGACGTTGAAATGACTTTTCTATCATCGTGATGAAATAAACCACGTTTGCACCTCCAGGTGTTCAGTACTGTACGGATATTATAATGATAATAACAATAATGGTAATGCAATTAAAATAATAACGGTTTGCTTCCCATCACCTTCTGAGTCAGACCAGGTCAACGAGAAACTCTTAACATTTCCACACCTCCTATTCCATTTAACTTTAATTGGATTTTTAATGGTTTCCTTGGTTTAATTGGTCGTGCTGCCCGGTTAGCCCTCAGGTGGTTCCGTTAACGACTAACCGTCGTGTCCTCGTGCTCCTCTCACAGACCTGGTGGAGGCGAAGATGGTCGGCATCCTGGACATCCTGGACGAAGAGAACAGGCTACCTCAACCCAGCGACCAGCACTTCACCGACACCGTTCACAACAAACACAAGAACCACTTCCGCCTCACCGTGAGTCCGCTCTGAAACAGGAAGTGGCTCCTTTGAACCGGGGCTTTGAATAAGAAATTGAAGTCTGTGTTGTTGTTGTTTTTTATGATTTGTCTTTATCTTTAAAGGAAGGTAAGATGGCCGGTTGTCCATAAATTGTCACATTTACCTGTAAATAACTCTCTTGTTCTAGTTCGTTCTCCGACTATTATCCCTTTACGTTTAACATAAAAACAATACATATTCCATGTCGTTTCATTTTTAATCCATAAACAAATGTTCCAAAAGGTGGTTCAGGTCCGATTCAATCAAATGTATGACGTCATGAGGCTGAACACTGACTCTTAATCTTCATCTCCAGAACTGAGTGATTGACAGGAGCGGGAATTAGCACGTCATTGTAAATGGAACATATGCAGGAAGTCTGCTGAGTCTAAGTGTTTTCCTGTGTGTGTGTGTGCGTGTGTGTGCGTGTGTGTGTGTGCGTGTGTGTGCGCGTGTGCGTGTGTGTGCGTGTGTGCGTGTGTGTGCGTGTGTGTGTCCGTCCGTCCCTCAGGTACCCAGGAAGTCTAAGCTGGCCGTCCACAGGAACGTGAGGGATGATGAAGGATTTATTATCAGACACTTTGCAGGAGCCGTGTGCTACGAGACGGTGCGTTTTCACAGAACACTCTCCTCCGCTCGGCTTTCTCCTGGAAGCCGTCTTTGAAAATGAATGTCACACAAAAATGATTGATTTAGTTTTTGTTTAATCTCACTGGACACTTCGGACCAAAGCAAGAGACCGTTCAGATGACATCATGCATTTTACATCGTCTCATATGAGTGAGGCTGCATGTTCTGTGTGTCTAATATATTCTGATATTTGTCGATTGGCCTGTTCAGTGAGCAGAGGCAGCCGGATGAATCATAGATAATGAATGAAGTCTGAGAACTTGTTGCTTTTGTTTTTAGACCAAGTTTGTGGAGAAGAACAACGACGCCCTGCACATGTCTCTGGAGTGTCTGGTCAGCGAGTCCAAGGACCGCTTCGTCCGCGAACTCTTCGAGAACTCCAACAACAGCAAAGACGTGAAGCAGAAAGCGGGAAAACTCGGCTTCATCAGCGTCGGCAACAAGTTCAGGGTGAGTTTCTGGCTGAAATGAACTGAATTTGTTGACCTGAAATGCTTATTTTATAGCAGAAAGTGAACCTTTCTGATGTCGGATGGGTTCAACACCACGAATCCCTTAATAGTAGATTTAAAAAAACAACGTGTCGTCCCTTCTATTTTTAACTCTGCAAATATGCAAGAAACACAAAACACAAGGGACCAGAAATAAACTACGGGGCATAAAATCTGCATTCTGCAACAACAGCCCTACTGTACCTCCTGCTGCCAGAGCTGTAGTGATGATGCCAACGTATCAGGGATCAATGAGTGATGGAGGCGCAGAAACGCATCACGCAGCACCTTTAACAAGAGATCTGACAGACTGTGGCTCTTGTGGTCAGGATGAAGCCAGCTCAGGTTCATCTTTACAGAGATCCCACGAGTACATATTAAAGAGACCGTTCTGATGTTGTTAATCTCTCAAACACTGATATCGGCATTAGCCTCAAGAATCCAGAAATCGGTCGGCTGTAACGCCGTCTGAGTGGAACACAGAGTCTCTCCGTCAGAACAGGAAGTGCAATTGTCTCTCTGTGTGAAGTTCCACTGAGTTTCACAGTACATTCAGAGAACACAGAGCAGCTTCTTTGTGTTTTTTTTACTTTCCTTAACTGCGACTCCTCCGGCTCAGCATCTCACCTTGATATGTGCTCCAATGTGTCACCTAACCAAAGGCAACGGAAAAACAAATCGCAGCGCTTGGCTCCGCTCGATCGTGTGTCCTAAAAATAACAAAAACAAAGCACATAACCCGAGGGAACGATGTCCGGCTCTGTTACCAGAGGTCAGAGAGCAGCGTGGTGTTCAGGGGCGTCGGGGGAAATGCTTTGTGGTTTCCAAAGGAACATTGGCGTCTTTGATGTACACATATTTTATCCTTTCATGTGTACGGAGACGTGATTTATATGTGAAGTACGTCGCTGAGACGCTGTCCATCACTGAGGAGTTAGATCCTGCAGCCAGAGCTGACAGATTCTCAATTCCATGAAAACACTGCATTATGTGTTTGTTTTATCCGGGCAGATTCACCCTAAACAATGTTCTTACGGTTGTTTTGTGTTATTTTATTTTGACTCAGCCGGTAGAGACGCACGGGAAACATGTTCATGCATCATACATTTCATATTTTCATAGTAAATGATGGTCCCATTAAGAGTAAAGTAGACCATACAACTGGGTATGCTTGTGGGCGGGGCTTACATGGTGATTGATGTCCTCCAACTTTAACCCTTTCACAGTTTTCAGTTCACGAAAGTTATTTGTAACAATTTAGCCTCCAAAAAATGTTTTACTCAGCGTTCGGTTGAACTTGAGCTCCACTCACTCGTGTCACTTCTGGTTGCAAAAAAACCAAGATGGAGACGACCAAAAACCAAAATGGCGACATCCAAAAAAGCTAGATGGTCACTGATAAAACCCAACATGGTGACTGCTAAAAACAAAAAAGTGAGTGACAAAAACCAAAATGATGATGGCCAAAAACCTGAAATGGCAGCGGCCAAAAACCAACATGGTGACCGTTAAAAACCAAGATGACAACGGCCAAAATGACAAACTCCAGGTTTCAAAACCTTAGTCCAGAAACCAATTGGTGATGTCACGGTATCTATGTCCACTACCTATATGCAGTCAGATAAAGGTGGACAGGAAGAAGCATGAAGGAGCAGAATATTAGCATCAACACAGCTTGGAGAGTGTCTGAAGTGTAAAATGTAGTTTTGATGACATTATGAATGTGACACTATGGGCATTTTAGTGGATATTTAGTGCTATTCTCCTGACGATAATAATCATGGCAAAAGTTAATTTCCAAACTGATACCAAACAACAAGCACACACTATGTTGCCTTTAAATGTTTTACAAAGTTAGAAAACTTATTTTAGAAGATTGAAGCCCGGAGCTCGTCTCAGGGTGGATTTGAACCGGCTCCGAGGAGATTGAGTTTTTATTAGCTGTGTTTTCCTAAAACCTGCCCTCGGTCCCCTCTCTCTCCACCCGAGCTGTGATTAAAGTTCAACAGGTGGAGAGGAGGATTCAACAACAGAGAGGCGGAGGGTGGAAATGAGCGGCGATACATCTGGAGTCAGTCGAGGTGACGGGAGAGACTTCGGGCTGTGGAGGACGTGGAGGTTTTCATTATAACCAGACAGTATTCTGTCCCAATAACGGCACTCAATATACCCCAGAACAAGAGTCTTGATCCGATGGCTCATCCAGACATAAGTCGACCCTCTTTTAGCCTGAATGGGAAACAAAACAAACAGTGGGATACTTAAGGAAAGTTTGTCGTTAATCACTGGGAAATGCATCGAATGAGGACGTAAATAATTAAAATAGCAGATTTCATACACACGTCTGTTTCAGAGAGCTTTACAGGCATTACAACTTTAAAAGAGATTCTTTATTAACTCAAGTATTTGGACAAATTTGAGGCCACTGCAGATAAAATGAAATTATGTAAGTGATAATAAATATAACAAACAAATAAATGAAGAGACCAAGTCTGTCATATTATATATGTAGACACTATTACACGTTATTTCACACTACTATACATTTAAACTGTATTATAGCTCTTACAACATGCAAAATAAATGGTTTTATTGTCATGGCGCTACTAGCCATTAGCTGCTAATGGCTCCTTGTAGCTGCTAATGGCTCCTAGTAGCTGCTAATGGCTCCTAGTAGCTGCTAATGGCTCCTAGTAGCTGTTAATGGCTGCTAGTAGTTGCTAATTGCTTCTAATGGCTCCTAGTAGCTGTTAATGGCTCATAGTAGCTGTTAATGGCTGCTAGTAGTTGCTAATTGCTGCTAATGGCTCCTAGTAGCTGTTAATGGCTCCTAGTAGCTGCTAATTGCTGTTAATGGCTCCTAGTAGCTGTTAATGGTTCCTATTAGCTGCTAATTGCTGCTAGTAGCTGCTAATGTGTCCTAGTAGCTGCTAATTGCTGCTAATGGTTCCTAGTAGCTGCTAATGGCTCCTAGTAGCTGCTAATAGCTCCTAGTAGCTGCTAATGGTTTCTAGTAGCTGCTAATGGTTTCTAGTAGCTGCTAATGGCTCCTAGTAGCTGCTAATGGCTCCTAGTAGCTGCTAATGGCTCCTAGTAGCTGCTAATGGCTCCTAGTAGCTGCTAATGGTTTCTAGTAGCTGCTAATGGCTCCTAGTAGCTGCTAATGGCTCATAGTAGCTGCTAATGGCTCCTAGTAGCTGCTAATTGCTGCTAGTAGTTGCTAATGGCTGCTAGTAGCTGTTGCGCGTCTTGTCTACAATCTCTCACCGTTTGTTCGGCTTCACCGCGTCGTTCCTTCATTGACCCTCGTCAGTTTACATGTATTTACATTTACATATATTCACATTCTCATAACACTGATGCTCCTCATGTCCTTGCTAGAATGCGCTTGAATAATGCATCGCCATCACTAAATGTAATGAGAAGTTATGAGGTGAAGAACGCGGCGGACCGTCCAGGGAAAGGGCCGACCTACTATTGTTGGAATATTAATGACTCATCAATAATAAAAGAGTTTGATGATTGAAGCATTTCTTTTGTAACAGTCTTTGTCGAGTTTTTAATTCACACTTTAAAGTTATTCATGATGTGAGGGTTTCAGAATGTGCATGTGTTCTTCCACACAAAGACAAAACCCTTATCAGAAGCTCCACCCGACTGGGCCTCCAAGCTGAGTAAAACTAACGCAACAAACTTTCCGGTTCAGCCGTTGGAACTAAGATGTTGATGATGCACATTTCTAAAAAGGTTCTGCTTATCAGAAATCCTGCACTGCTGTTTTTTTTTCCAAAGTGAGTCACATCAAATGTAAAGAGTTAATCCGTCTTGACCCTCGACAGCCTGCAGAGTAAGAGGATTCCTGCTAATGCATACCAAACTGAAAGGCTTTATCTCTCTCTGGGTCCTCTCTTGTCAACCTCAGCAGCATCTCAAACTGTCTCAGATTAATTCTTGAAGTACAATAACAGTGAAAAGGACGGTTATATGTTCGGTCAAAGTGCTCGACTGACTAGAGATTCACGCCTTCATTTAATCATGAATGTGTTGAAACAATTCAATTCTATTTGTTTAGCCCAAAATCACGAGTGACTAACGAGCCTCAGAAGGCTTTACTTTCATATCTGATGAGCTGAGAGCGAACAGTGAGAGAAATCAGATTGTATCTCGAGAAGTGTTTCTTTCTTTGCATAAATGCTGAAACTACACTGTTTGGTATTTATACGATATTTACTGCTAAATATAGTGAAATAAGTACGGAAGCCCGGAGAGGCAGAAGTTAGAAATGGTGATAATAAAAACCAAGAAATCAAAAGATTTGTCACAGTTAAAAAAGCTCAAAGTAAGGCTGAACTACGGAAGCCCTGAAAGGAAAGTAAAACATGTTTTTATCACTTAAGAAGAAGTGAGTAAGAAAGATTTTGCCAGGATAATTGTTCTTATTTATTTCTTTCACGTGTGAAACCGGTTGAGAAATAAATGTTTTTGCAGGATCATTTATTTTTAAGGGTTTGTTGTTGTAGTTCTCATTCTGGCCACAAGAAGCCAAAGTGCACCACTTCTGTCTCATGTTGTCAAAAGGACGACAAGCATCTAATGCATTCATTCTAGCCAAAAGAAAAATATGACCCTCTAACACACAATATATATTGTGTGTGTGTGTGTGTGTGTGTGTGTGTGTGTGTGTGTGTGTGAACCTTGTGTTTAATGGAGAAATTAAAGCTCATTAAAACATGACTGCTATCTTACTTGCTAGCAGTATTTTTGCTCCCTGTAAGAGCATGCAGGTGTGTCCTATAGATATAAATATAGATATAAATGCTCCATAACTACTGGAGGCACCTTTAAGAGCTTTAACTGGAAATGAGGAATACAGATCTTCAGGATAAACTTCAGAGCTGTATTTCTTTTACTTGCTGTGCACGTTATTTGAAATGTTGGACGTCAACATATATTATTTGAAGGTATATAGAAGCACATATAGCATTATAACTAATGTTAATCTGTTGGTGTTGGATACACAGTTGTGTCTTTGTCATTACGTGGAACAACTACATGAACCAGAGTTCAACTTGTCCACAACATGCGTTTCTTTGTCTCTGCATTAATCACACAAAAAACTAAATGTGTTTTGTTCTTTCTCTTGTCTTTCTGCAGACTCAGCTGAATATTCTCCTGGAGAAGCTGCGCAGCACGGTCAGTGTTTCCTCCCGATGATTCCGCGTTACATCTGCAGTACAGTTGAGCTTATTACTGTGACACGGTGCTCCGTGCACCATCGTACGGCACCGTGTCCCGAGTCACAGCGTGATGGATATCTGATTTCCGTCTCTCCGTGTTTCCCTCGTTCTCCTCCTGCAGGGCTCCAGCTTCATCCGCTGCATCAAGCCGAACCTGAAGATGATCAGCCACCAGTTTGAAGGAGCTCAGATTCTCTCCCAGCTGCAGTGCTCCGGTCAGTGAGACCCTCATCCTGGTGTTTGACCTGATGTCAGGAATGTTCATTGTTAATCAGGACAGGGTTGAAGGTGTTCCTGTGATTTGAAACAGGTCGTTACTCTGGAACAGAGCTCGTTCTTCCTGAATCCACATGATGAATACCCATAAAATTCAGTTTATTCTAGTTTCATTATGTTATTCTTAACATGTCCTCTGCTCTAGTTTTACATCCAGGTGACGATATGGATATTATTAGTGTGTACAGAGGAATATCCTCCTTTTTACATCTTATTTCAGTTTCAGTGGTACTTTTAAATCAGTACATATATTCTTTATTATGTGATGCTATGAATCCAGGGGTGGCAGCTGGAAACAGAACCAGATTTGGGCAAGACTTCCTGAGAAATACTTGGATGTCAAGTCTCAATATTACATTTTAAATGACAGCTTTTAAAAAACAAAAGTGGAACATGTTCCTTTACGATCTATATTCTAACATATGTGAGGATCTAATAGGAAGTTAAAGGAGCTCTCCGCTGATTCCACAGCGTGTGTCCAGATGTTTATTGAGTTCTACTGTCGGTGTTAACGTTAGAATGAAGCCTTTAGTGTCTCCAGCTGTGTGATGAATATGAATGTGTGAAGGAGGTTTTCTTACTTGTCTCTCGCTCCAGCTCTCTATCGGTACCAGGGTTATTTTAGTCACTGAAACTAAAACAGTAAATAAGCAGTGAAAAATATTGGAAACTAAATAAGAACTTAAAACTAAACTGAAGATATTAACTGGTTAAATTGATTTCACTTTTAGTTTTTTAGTTATAATATTTCACTTCAGAAAAAAAGAAGATATGAATTTCTGTCGACTCTCATAACATTAAACCACATAAATCGAACACTTTACCTTCCAGCCGACGGATCTGTGCTTCACATCAAACACTGAAGTAGGTTAAAGATCCCTAAACGCGTATCTAGTACGTACACGCAGCTACTCACCTCTGAGACATTAAACCTAAAACAAACTGACAAGAAATACATTTAAATCAAAGCTAGACTAAAAGTAGCAAACAAACTGAAAACCAATTAAATTCAAAGGAAAAACTAAAATAAATTATAAACAAATTGTAAAATTCTGAACTATCATAAACTTAAATGGTACATAGAGATCTTGTTTCTGTGTAGAACATTACACAGTAAAGCGTCTCAACACATTCCGTTGGTCCGTAGGTTTGTCGTCTTCTGTATCATCTCTCTGCCATCAGTACATCCTGTCTTTGTCTCATTGCCCCTTCCACCCACACAAACACAAGTCTACAGAACAGTGTCTTCACCGGAGGAGAAATAAAACGGTGAATAAACACAAACCCTCTAAAAGATAAAGAACCAAGGACGAGCACCTGAGCAGTGACTCGCCAGCCAAAACATTTACAGCCAGCAAAGACCTCTTGTGTCTGGAACGCACCTGTGACTGAAGTTCACCTCGTGGATTTCAAGAAAGCCTCTTGAGAACTTTTGAAGGGGCCGTAGACGAGTGTGTTTCTTCAACCTGTCATTGTGAAGTAAACTGACGGCACAGTGTATTGCCTACAGAATGAAGACCGATACGCCTCACTTTCTCTGTGCAGATCCGTCTGCCAAAGGAGGCGATGTCATGGTAAAGATGAAGGTTTCATTTACGTCACAAACAAAGTGCGTCAACCAAAACAGGAAGAGGGTAGAGCTTCTGTTTCCCCCGTTAGCTGTCGGTAGCTATCACCAGTTACCAAAGAGCATCAATGGAAGTTCTTCACTTACTTTCTCCAGCAGAGGAAACGGTGGAACTCAAGATGTAGTGTGTCCTGTCTGTGTCCACAGCGCTTTACTCATGAAGGACACTAGCATTAGCTCCAAACGTCATGCGCTCATTTGCATATTGGTGACATCATCGTGCATTCGTTACAGCATAAAGCTTGGGGGTTGTGTTGTTGCAGCGAAGAGATTCTTCCAAGATGAGAGGGACTCGTAACTCTGAGAAGCGTTGAATATAATAAATCTGAATATATTTCTTGGTCTGAATAAATCGCAAAATTTGCCGCTTGTTGCTGTGAGGAAACGGAAAGCAATGTGGTGACAGCAACAATAAAACCACTTGGAAACGTTAAGGGGCTAAAAGTTGTCTGTTGCCACTTAAACCGAAAAAAACATCCAAAGTTTAATTTAGTCAGAAAATTAACAAAAATAACTCCGATCACATTTAACAGCTTTAACCAGATCACGTGTTTGTCTTTGGCGGCTGTTATTTCCTGTGTCTTGTGCTCTAGATCTAGGTTCCTGTCTTGTGAAGCTGCTTTGTGACTTTGATACCACTTTCTTAAACTTATCCCCCAAATCAAAAAGCCTGTGACCCCCCCCCCCACCAGATTTGGAAGAAGAGAAATGATGAGCTCGGGTTTAATATCCTCAGAGATTCTGACTCTGCTCTCAAGCACACAAACTCAACGATGCCCTGTTCAGATTCTGCTCCCCGCCAAGTTCTTTATCACTTTTATTGGACTGGGAATGGAGGCGTTGATCGTTTGGATGAGACTGGGGAGGCCTCAGTGTGCCAACGTGACACTGAGGCTTCACAATGGGCAAGAATCCCAAAATAACATCACTGAAGTTCACTAATCCTACAAAGGACGTTGTTGCGTGGCGGCTGTGGCTCGGAGGTAGAGCGGCTCGTCTTTTGTCGAGATACTGAACCCCAAGTGTGTGTGACTGTGCGTTAGTTTAGATCCTTTCACCATCAGTGTGAACTGTTGTGCTTACCTTCCATGTGGACTATTTCTTTTTTTATAAAGACTTTTTTTACTTCATGTTTGTTTGTTTTAAATCAGCCCAATCTAGTCTGAAACACTTCCTTTGCTTGTCTGTCTGTGTAAATGTCTGTTTCCTCTCTTTATTTGCCCACAATCGAATAGCCTTCGTGGATTAATACAATTTATTTTACAAATACAAGTCCATTCACCATTTAAAGACACAAAATAATACATATTTGTGTTTTTGAACATCGTTGTTGGACAGCAGTGTTTCTGTAAAGAGATTCACCTCAGAACCTTTAGTGGGAATAACTTTCATTTACTTTAAAAGACTTTAAACTGTTCACCTTCTGTCTCAACTCCGGTGTTGATTTGTTGTTTTTGTTCCCTGACTAACGGCTCGTGTGAGTATTGTGTTTTTTAATCACTGTACAAGCAATAATAAGATCCAGGATTCTACAGTATGTCTGACGCTTATCCTGACAAATTCTGTCGTTAATCTGGTTCATTCAACAAATACAAAGAAATAAACTCAAAAATGAGTTTTCCATTGTGGTTTGCAGCCCTGAAACCAGATTTAATTGCTTCCGGCGACGGCTGGATTCTGTGACCAGAGCAGCCTTGAGCTTGTTCTTTTGAGCAGGAAGCACCAGATAAAGGGTTTAATTAAATTAGTGACATATTGAGGCTGAGTAACACCTTGTAGATTAGAAACTAGAAGTAGGACTTAATATCATGACTTGATAACAACAACATTGGCGTTTTACGCAAACAGCGGATACTGTGAATGTACAAGTTACAAAGACAGTTATTAAAAGTTACACTCTATTAAAACAAGTCCACTGAGGGCAGGTGGGTCAAACAAACGCAGGACTTTCACCCAGGTGACCGCTGTTCATGTCCCGCGAGAAACCAAAAAGTAAACGCTGACATTCCGTTTGTTTCATCGCGGAAGGAAGTCCGCTAAGAGGCGCTTGTTTGTATCCGGTAGCTGCGTTGGTCCTTCTTACGTTACTATTTGAACACGAACCACGATCATGGGAAACGGTTCAGGCACGTTCAAAGAACACTTGGCAGGTGATTGGATGAACATCTGTCAATCGAGCCGTTGTCTTCGCAGTCGTGCTTTGCTCTTCTTTCAATGAAGAAATACTCTGCAGTCTCGCTGTTGTCTCGTCTACGCTAGCCTCTTTCAGAGTCGTTGCCAGCGGCTCCTCGCAGGATGCTGATTGGTCCGTGCTCTGGTTTACAAACGCTTTACTTGAAGCCTGACGAGATGTATTTTTTGTGTGACATGTGATCCCACAAGTCTTGCACGATCTTGTACTCCAGCAAACTGAAGCTAGCCGCTCGTTTCACATCCACAACGCGTTTCTGCTCGCGTCATACGAGGCTGATAGGAAACGCATTCGTGAAACATGTATTTTGATTGAGAAACGTCGAGATTCAACGTATCCAGCGGTTTTACAGAAACGTACAATGGCGACATTTATTCTGGCGACTGACTGAACAACCAGTGGGGGATTTTACGGGGAACCAGTGGAGGGAGACTAACCCCAGGATTATACGGTCAAGAGCTCCGGTTGCTGGAACCACCAGACTGGAATAAGAGGCTTCGGGTTAGAGAGTCGGGTGTCTGTGTTCAGTGTTTCCCCATTGGAAGGACTCCAGGAGGAACATTGCCTCGATGTAACAGTTAAGACGTCTCGACTCAGGGCCACACAAAGATTAGCGTTTCCTTCGGGAAACGATTGTACGGCAATTATAACTGGAGGTCTCATATGAGAGATGTGCACCTCGGGGGCAGCAGTTAGCGTTCAGCTTTATCTGAATACACAAGAGGAGAGTTGTATTATCACAGCTGTGAGACAGAGGGAGTTGTAATGTGCTTTCCAAGTTTCCTCTCCACACAATTGGCATCAAAACTCATGAGACCAGATTCATCTTCTGTAGGATTTCACATCTAATTTAAGCAAATGATGTCTGCTACCAGCTTTGTGTGAAAACAATGAAGATACAAACTCAACGCTAACAGATCATACAATCCAACTCAGCTTAACTTGTTTTAACAAATTCATACAATGAAAAATTGTCAAATATCACATTTTCCACTTACTAATACACTAAAGCAGGTTGCATCCCAGAGCTTTCATGCACATTTTTCTTGTTGCATAGTGTTGGAATGTGTTTTTACTGAAGCTGAAGTTTTGAAATGATGAATCCTAGTAGACGCCAACATCGGCACATAAAATGCAAAAGCTAACACTGGTGTTGTGCACTTGTGTTAATGCCAACAGTGGCTTTCAGCAGCCTTGGCATCATGCTAACATTGGTGTTATACAGTTTGCAGAAAGGCTAACTGTTATTATGTTGATATGCTACAGTCTCATGACGCGTCGAGCTGCAGCGTTGGGTTTTTCAGAATCAGTCGATGTGTTTAGGAACCAGGGAATGTCCTCGAGCTCTTCAATGGTGACGTGACGCTGTGAAACTGGATGTACTCAATGTTGTGCAGGGGATTGACACAAAAACACTCAACACTAGAAAATGACTTCTGAGGTGACTCGATGGCATTTTCAAACTGCCGCAAGAGTGTTTCATTTACGCTGAACGGCAATTAGCAGCGTCTGTCTGCTGTGAAAGAGTTCTGGGAAATGAGCCCTTTGATGTCAGCTTTCACAGCAGAGTGAGAGGAAAGAGGGTACAGGGGGTCTCCAGGAACAAGCTAAGGCAATGTGTCAACGGGAACAGTCTGCAAAGTCCTCACAACGTAAACACAGACAGACGGCGCTGACGAGAGGGAGCCGGGTCACAAAGTTCAAATCACAAGTGGAGTAAACGACGCTGACGAATGATGCTAATTGGCTTCACTGGTTAGACGTGGTCTGCTGTTTTCATCACATTATTTCAAAGGTAAAGGTTCATTGTTGGATTTGTTGTGCTAAACATCACTAACAATAATGTTTATTGGTACCAGATTATTTAATTACAACCAAAACTAATGATTCTCTGTCTATAAATAATAAAATACATTAAAACACAAAGAGATTGAAGTAAACTTAAAGCCAAGAAACTTGTGAAAACAGTAAAATGAACTAAAACCTCGTCAAACACAAATACAGTCACTGATATGCGATGATAAAAAACGTGATTTAAAGATCTCCTCAGGTCGGTCACTACACAGTATTGGATGCTTGACTGCAAAGGCTCCCGTCACCTCCATCTCTCAAATCTAGACCTTCATACAACAAGGAACCACAGAAACAAGAGATCTGATGCATAACTGAGGGAGAGGCCTCTCAGGGCTTCGTACCCAATCAATAATATCTTAAAATCAATTCTAAAACAAGCAACCGATCAATAACCAGCCTGAAATGGGCAAAAACTTTATTTAAATCAGGAACTATTTGATCACAGAATAAATAAACAGAGTTTTTGATTCTTCTTGGAGCTTCAATACCCAACTGTGTGTAACAAATACCGTTTGGATTCATTCTCTGTGACTCCTCCCTGCCTCTGTAGGTATGGTGTCGGTGTTGGACCTGATGCAGGGCGGCTTCCCCTCCAGGGCTCCCTTCCACGAACTCTACAACATGTACCAGCAGTACATGCCTCCGAAACTCACCCGCCTCGACCCGCGGCTCTTCTGCAAGGTGGGTCCTCGGAGCCCCAGCGAGCTTTCATCATCATCACCTCAGCACATTTCCATGTTTATTGATGCTCCTCCGTGTTTCTGTTGTAGGCTTTATTCAAAGCTCTGGGACTGAATGAGAACGACTACAAGTTCGGTCTGACCAGAGTGTTTTTCCGGCCCGGCAAGGTGAGGACCCCCCCCCCCCCCCCAAAGAAAGCCAATAGATTCAGTGGGAAAGCACATTAGTCATGTTTGGCTGCTGAGGTGAGGGTTTTTTGAAAGAACAAGAGCCAGCAGATGTGTTGTTTTGTATTTACTTCCCCAGCAGATGAATAATTCATCACATTTAGGTTAGACGTGTGGTCTCTAGTGGAGGGGGGGTGTTTGCTGCAGAGATCCTCGATACACAGCGTGCAGGAAAATAAATATTAATATTCAGAGAAAGAGCTCAGAATTGACTAGAGGTAAAACAGCTGTTCTCTAAGATGATAAAGTTATACGTTTGCAAGAAAAATCGCAGAACTGATCTGAGATTAAAGTCACAAATTTTGGAGAAAACAAATCTTTGTGTTTTTGAGATTCGCCTCTAATTCAGGAAGTAATGCTCGGTTATAGCCTCCAGTATACGTTTGTAATTAGCTGCAGTGACTGTAAGGACATCAGTAGAGCGAGTAAGGCAGCGGTTTGTTTTTTACAAAGTCAGCAGTTTCTTTCTACATAGTCAGCAAACACTCTTTCCATCTATGGCGTCGAATCTAAAATGCTTCCACGAGTTACTTCTCCGGTGGTAAGTAGAAAGACTTCATCCACCTGCTGTTGGCTGAACATCACTGTGTTTCTGACCGCGTAACCCCCCCCCCCCCCCCTCTGTTTCCAGTTTAAAGAGTTTGACCAGATCATGAAGTCGGACCCGGACCACCTGGCGGAGCTGGTGAAGAAGGTCAACAAGTGGCTCCTCCACAGCCGCTGGAAGAAGGTCCAGTGGTGCGCTCTGTCCGTCATCAAACGTAAGCAGCGTCTGTTCAGAGGGAACGCCGTCAGGGTCCAGACCCCTTTGATCTGTTAGCTCACATGGTCACATGGTTGTGTGGGCGGGGCATAAGTGGAGGTGCTAAAGTTCTCTGAACACGTTGGTTAACGGTGGTTATAAAAGCTGAAGAAAATGCGTTGAGTTTCTCTCAATGAGGAACTTTTACCTGGTCCTGAACCAGTCTCAGTTTAGTCCTGATCCTCTAGGAGCTACACCAGTAAACGAGGTGCAAACCACTGAGCAGGACTGCAGAGGATTCATGCATCGGTACGATTAGGAGCTTTCATTTCTTATTTGTTTAAGCATCTTGTAGAGCCGTCGACAAGAAAATAATATTCAGAGAAAGAACTCAAAATCTGAATATTCTCTGAAATATAAAGTCATACATTTGCTTTGTTTTGTTGTTGTTTTTGGTCAAGGAACTGCATCGCTGGTAAACACTACCTCTTTTGTCCACAGGGACCGCCAAAATCAACACAAAATAAAAGTAGCTTGTCGTAGCTTAAATATTAACCAACGGGACCAAATTAGCCGACCACTACGCTGCTGGTAGACTACAGACGGAAGGATCCGGAGAGGACGGCCGGCTAGTTAGCGAGCTAGCTCCCTGCCGTCACTTTCAGCACAATTATCCTTCCAGACATGTTGGAAATCCCATCATGCAAAACACGAGAGGGATCATTGTGCACAGACGGCTCACAGAACCCCCTCGGGGGGGCCCTGTGGACGGAGCAGAGAGCAGCAGTGAAAACAAACCGATGGCTGCTGTTAATAATGTGGAGGTTTAGCTCTTCATCACTGCAGTCTGAGGAGAGTTCACGTCACTCACTGCTGTCATAACGCTGCTCTCTGTTTGTGTCTGCCGCCATTACTCTCAATGCTCCATTACTTTTCTAGTAGTTTCTCTCTTTCTGTCTCGTCTCTTTTTCATTTATTCTCTCCATATCAACACCAATCTTTCTCTTTTATTCTCTTCATATCTACACCAATCTTTGCCTTTTATTCTCTCCATATCTACACCAATCTTTCTCTTTTATTCTCTCCATATCTACACCAATCTCTCTTTTATTCTC